CACTTTCATACATCTCCATACTGATTCCATTCCGTCGCCCAACCCAACTATCGGCCAACTAAAAATCGTACCTAGGCTAAGTACTCATTAGGTATATAAACTGAAAGTAGATAGGTACATGCCAAGATGCCAAGACGCTAATATAGTGTTATTTACCTAACCCGGACACGGTATTTACCTAATGGACTGTGTTAAGTTGTGATTTTGTAATGTTTGTTGCGAGAGTTAACGTTGNTAACGTTACCTTAAGTATGGTGCAGACACATAGCAGCTATAGTATAATTTGTACATAACCGCAAATAATTTTGACGCAAGAACTTCTGTAAAATTGTGTGTTAAGTGTAAATAAGAAGCACTTAAAAATTTCAAGATTGTGTACAATGTTCTTGAGGAAAATATTTATTTTTTATTCTTTTAATTAAGCGAATAGTACTTTTTTTTATTTATTTCTTCGGAATGGCTTCCAACAGAACATCTATTACTAATGAAACGTTGGTCGAATTTTTAGCATTCATGAAATTTAGTTGTAGAGATTTCATTTTAGGATATAAACAGAAACTGTTATCGTTACTGTATATTTCATGTAGAGATGAATGAGGAGGATAGACTTTTCAAGAAGAATTCACTCATATTGGTAAATCAGACTAGTTTTCCGCCATAGGCAGTTCGATTTTTTTCTAGTTGTTTATTTAAAAAAAGGACATTGTCAGAAACCGCCTAAAAAACCGCCAAAAAACATTTACCCATCATAATTATTTTCTATTTTTTTTAATACATTAANTTTAGTTTTAGGACTTTTAGGAGACGTTAAAAGCCTAGGCGCAGACCACAGATTTAGTATCGGCCGATCCTTAATACAAATTATAATGGGGCCCAACTATCGGCCAACTAAAAGTCGGTGGTCTGCGCCTAGGCTAAATTAGCAGTATTAAATAGGAATATTTAAAGGAACCAAAACATAGTGCTATATTAACGCACTCTATAGCGCACGAAACAGGCAGCGTGTACGAGTCGCTTGCGCAAGAGTTGTCTCGCCGGCGGAAGGCTGCGCGTGCGCTGAGTAGTGCACTTCACGTAAACTGTGTTTACTGGATCATACTTAGTGCTTACCTAAAGAGAAAATGATTATTTAACAGTAGGTATTTGGTAATTTACTTAAAGTTTGAACATATACGAGTAGCTTCTTCTTACAGAACAAAGCTCGTGGATCTATTAGAATTTATGACTGAGATTTGATACAGTTTTGAGCGTCTTTATAAGAGTTAAGTTTCGTATTCCTGAGAGAGATGTTGATGTCGTGATGTAGTTATGATGGGCGTCTCTACATAACATGTTTTGCAACGCATGACGTATGAATATGAGACAAATCGCGGGAAAACTTTGTAAAAACAAGGCTTTAGGTACTTTTCAAGTTCATTTAAGATTTGACAAATAATGCAAAGCAGAGATTTACTAAGAATTGATACTCAAGACCGATGTCTTGAGTACCCCTTAACTTTGAGCTCAAATAAAATACTATTTTTTTATGTGACTCTACATTTGGATATTCCAAGAATTAAGATTAATGATACCTTTTGCAAAGAAAATCTCAGACAAGAGAAATAAACAATTTAATTATCGGATCGGAAACTCTGAACCCTTTATCGGAAAAATAAACATAAATTAAACTTCATTGCTACATTTAGCAAACAGTTTCGTTTTCTTGCACAACAGGAGATTACTTCATGGTTTTAAATCCGGATCTCTCTACATTGTAACTCGCTCAAAGTTTTAATTTCTTGTTTAAGTTAATAAAACAGTTAAAAAACCGGTAAAATTTGGAGATTGTTCGGTTGTCCCAAATCGCTTTTTTGCTCTAGTTTCTGACTAACCTTTAGCTGTCGAGTTCCAAACTCAAATCACGGAGGTCCGACCACTCTCACTGCGAAAGTGAAACCGCGCGATTTTAGCAAGTACGAGTAAACACAAGACGAAACTCGCGGCACGCACCGCCGCGTGCGCAGGGAACACTGCCGTTGTATAACGCTAGCAGGCGTTATGCATGATACCGGTATTGTCGTTATTCAGTTTACCGGTTTTGCAATTTGTGTTTGTTTACATTCATTAGAAGTCCTTTTTAATAATCCTAATAATCACATGTATTACTTTTAACTAAAGCTTTGTAGGTATTTTGAGATCTCGATTTTATTATGGTTTCTAAAGTTCATAAAAATGTGTTTGTGTTACGAGTATGAGCTTATGTAGAGCAAATTTTTACAATCGGTATTTAGGAGTCAAGAAAACATTTGATCTAAAGACGTTTCCACTAAAAATATTAGTTGTCAACCAATCTCTAATTTCATTCAGCCAATAATATAGTTCTAATTTTTGTTTGTGTAATATTAAGTTAGAACTGCTACATATTATTAGCCGGTAACCGGTAATACCATATTACAAACATCACTACGCTCGCTACGGATGGGACAAGGAGGGTTGCATTGCATGTCGATAAAATATTTCTTTTGGACTTATGCAACATTTAACTATAGGACAAAAAATAACGACATGTTTTATAATAATATTACGCGCATAAACAGGTTTAAGTTAGATGACACACTTTAGTTAACCGTTACGTAAACGAGTAGGTACTTAATAGTGCGAATACGAATTTCTATAACTTTGACATACATTTGTGGAAGTGTGACCTAACCTAATCCTCGTTTCTTCTTTCATTGAACAAAGTCATTCATAGCTCATATCAATCGCATTCATAGGCCTTTAGTAATACAATAAAATAGTATAGAGACAGAAACATGTAAGTAAACACAGACAGACAGCAACATAAAGTTTATTTGCGCATGATACTCTACATTTAGACATTAATTAATTTGTATTTAGGTAGGTATGTTTCTCTACAATATGCCTGGTGTCTTCGTTCAAGTCCCATAAAATGCGTTGTTCCAATAGATACATAACAGTCGAACATTGAACCTCCTCCTTTTTGAAGTTAGTTAAAATGAGCCCTTTACCATTTACGCATTTTTATCTTAATGTCCATAATATCGATACTTACGTGCTACAGCACGTCTCTCCGGCGGAGTTACCCAAGAAACTAGTTCTGAATCCTTGCCATCTTTGCATTCAGTATCCGCTGCAATAATTATTTGCAATCAGCCAAGCCTGCACGAACAACCGCAACGATGGAATGCTTGCTTAGGCATGGATATCATTATAGCAATCTTCAAAGTAACGAGTACTAGGTATTAAACGAGTACTAGCACTTAGTCAGTGCCTGATGTATGGGAGCGAGCGGTACGGGAGGGTGTTTTTTGTTACGTCAAATGTCAGCGAGACTTCAGATTTGTATGCTCTGTCATGTCATATCTCTCATATCTCAGACACTGACTGAGTTAAGTTAGTGTACTATAGTACTTACTTACTTGAAGAATGCTGGCTACATTTCCTAGCTTTTCATAGCCTGAATTTTAATATTCTCAAAAATCATAGTTCCTAGAATAACCCAAAAAAATGTGTAAATGTTGCAAAACCGTTTGAGTTGTGGATGTGCTAATAAAACAGATAAACGCTTAACTCAGTTCTATTTATAATTTGTTTCTCTCTATAAGAGTATTTTAGCTGTCAAATAAACGAAGCAATTTAGAAAAACAAAGTCGATATTTCAGCAAAATTACCTAGATACGGCAGTATCTAGGTAATACTACATACTACTACCCTACTACCATGAGCGATTTATTAATGAAAACACGAAAATGTTTTTATTTCAGCGATTCATTTAAAAAATTATTAATGGCTCAAAATAACGTTTACATAATTAAATCATGTGATATTTTAATTTCTAAAAATTTTATCAAATTAGTTTTAATTTCTATAATCAATAATAGTGATTCTCATTTTCGTTGATCACTACGCCATCTCTAGACGATATGCAACAACACGTTTTCGTAGCAAAGTTTCCGTAGCTCTTCGAACAATACGCTTAATAAGTAAAAGAAACTACGCTACGAAGTTACGAGATGGCGCGTTTTACGTAAAAATAAATCAATGTTGATATTAAAGGCATATTATATTATTTATGAGTGACCGCAATGGAAGACGTAGCATGGGCAGGCCTCCTACTAGGTGGACCGACGATCTGGCAAAGGTCGCGGGAAGAGCCTGGATGCGGACAGCGCAGGACCGTGCATTGTGGAAAACCTTGGGGGAGGCCTTTGTCCAGCAGTAAACGTCTTTTGGCTGAAACGAACTAACGAATTAACGACCGCAATGATATTATACTTATTTATTTATTATAATATAGTGTGTGATCACCATGGCTATGGTGCTATCAGACGACCTGTCTTGAAGCTCTCAAGGCGTTCAGTGAAAGCATCTCCACAATGATTAACATTAGGACAAACTAGCTTCTACATCACGGAAAGTCTTCATTGGTCGTCGTTTGTTTCTTTTCAGCCAATGGACGTCCAATGCTGGGCAAAGCCCCCCAAAAATATTCTTTAATGTAATGTAATACAGTTTTCGTTTCTGCTCCATTTCATTTTCTTGTACGGATTACTTATGCAACGTTATTCAAACTTCGTGCCATATCAACACAACTATCGAACGGTTATTTAACATCCAATAACATGCCTCGTTCGTTAATACCAAAAGCAATCTATCACACGCGGCCGTGCTTTACAAAGGGAAAGTTGCCGCCTACTTGCGCGCACGCAGCTTCTTCGTAAGTCGTGCCGCTTGCTTCGCCGAAACAGTAAGCTTCATCGTTCATTGCTATCGATAGATCAAAAATATGAATCAGTTTAAAACGCTTTTTGTATGNTTTATATCAAGCAAGTGTTTTTGTGCTGCCACTGTTCAACAAGGAAACAGAAATGTAACGACGTAAATAAAAAGTGATACATATCAAACCAAACCATTATAACAGTGGATAAATATTTATTTGGCTCAGATCTCAATCTGGTTAAGACTTTAGTGAAACGTGCACCAAGGATTACGCTCCGAATCCTATCACAGATTGCAGCGTGGGCGAACCTGCTAATCATTTTAATTTGTCATGCGTGCCAGTGTATCAGATCAGTCGGACGTGTTCACCGTTGCCTACCATATGATATATCATCTGGCTGCACCCGGCCTTGTTATACGATATCGGAAATCGATCTGCTGGAACTGGACACGCATAGAGCACAGGTAAAATTACGTGTGACGGTGTTACAATCCTTTCCTCAGTTCGTGTCAGGATCCTTTGACTTCAACACGTAGCACGATGCGGCGCAAAGAGCCTGCGCCTACGCAGCCTGCAGGCCGTGGGAGAAGCCTTATATCGATCAGGACCAGCCAAGCCCAGCAACGCAAAATGCAGTCAAAAAGCCTTCTACCTAGGAGCTATTCCTCACCGCCAACGCATGCTGAGCCAGATTCCACCCAACTCAGCCCTTTAAAAGGGTACGTCATGAGAAGCTTTTCTACACCCGAGCCCAAGAACCTGGACTACAGACGCAATTCAGACTCTTTCTACAGGCCGAAGACGCACGGGTCTAGAACTGAGCTGGACTCTGATTTGGAAAATTTCGAGCAGTTCGAAGAATGCTTCATAGATATAGACGCCGATACCGATGAGGCAATGATAAACTACTCGCGGAGTCCCGAGAGAGAGGTGCCGAAAAGAGTTATAACCAGTTTGCTGCCTGGTAGTGGGATTCAGAGAGTTACGATCAGGCCCATATCGACTAATACCACGCACACTTTGCAAGGCGCTCGTGAGGCTATGAAGAAACTACAGAAGGACGAGAAAGGTATGAATAATTTTGTTATAGGTTTATTATATGTAGTTTTATTTTACTTAAGTACCTACTATTACCGTTGTTCAGTTTGAAAGATGATAGTAAGATGCTGGATAACATTCTCGAACTTTCCAATTCTTAAGGTTCGAATTAAAACAGTTTACTAACCATTCGCAAGTACGTGTTAAACCGAAGCCATTTGGTAGTCTCTGCGCAACTTGTTTACAAGATTATGCAAATGAACACATAATTTGAATTTGTGTGCTTATACTCAATGTGTTATTTCTATTCGTTAGTGAGAACTACGGATGGTGTTTTTGAAACAATTTAGGTACGAAGTTTTATTTTAACGCTACTGGAAATGCATTAGGCACTTCTCACAATTCTCTAGGATATTTAGAGTTCTATATTATACATTACTTTTATACAGAGATTCAGGGCTTGTACAGTACAAATAATTTATGTTTACTTAAGGGAAACTTGTCCCACACCCCGTTTTTTAAATGTATTTTTATATGTTCTCATTATAACATTATGTCCACACATGACATGTTTAAATTATTATCTTAACTGTTACAAAGACCAGCTTATTTTATAATGCATGTTAGCTTCAGGAGCATTAAAATTTAAGCCAATTACAGAGTTTCCTAGCTGCTTAGATAAGTTCATACAAAGTAAATGAAGATGACATAACAAGACTGTTAAAAAATTGTTAAAATATTATGCCGTTACATCAATTTCACCATTTTATTTTACTTTAGGATCCTCTCGCCTGAACTTCCGACCTCTAGTCGTGAAGATGCCAGCGCGCCACGTCATCCACTCCGACCCTGAACAGGATCAGGAGCCAGGAGACGAGGAGCTGCAGGCGTCCCCCCAGCTGGAGATGGAAGGGGCTGACCTGGATAGAGAGCTGGATAACGCTGAGCAACACCTGGATAGAGGAGTCGCGATGGCCACTGAAGAGAGCGATGCTGACACGGTAAGTACTTTGCATGTTTTTTGTTAAAATGTTGACTGAAATGTTTTTGAGAAATGACGTCACGGGTCTTCCGCCATTGCTCCGCGACAGCATTTCCGTCAATTGTGGCAAAGGCCTAAGGAGGTAAAACGTGGGTCCTCACTCCACGCTTCCGAGGTCGCGGGTGGGCCGCTAGTTATTGACTCGTATATGCTTTAGTAAGTGACTTTATAACGATAGGTTTCTAAGCAAACGGGCTTAATTAGGTGAACCTGCGTTACGTTTCGTTATTGAACTTTAATAAGGACGATGGCACGCCATATCCTGTAGCATCTTTTGTTGTAGTAAATAGGAGCTATTTTGAAACACAAAAATTATAACGTTATTATAACAACTTTCATTATTAAAAATATTTTTTTACAAATAATTCAACATGTAGGTAAATATTCCCTAATAGCATCCACCTTAACCTTTCGATTAAGTATGTTATAACCTTATAACAACTACAAAGTACAGTCACCATCACAAACACCTTAATTAAAGCTACTGCAATTTAAGTGTAATTAATATGACAATTTTAATAAGCACTGATTGCAATTTTGATATTAACTGAAACTTAATTTTGTGACAAAAATAACAAAACAAAATTATTACTACTAGGTTCATCTCAAAATATAAAAATGTAAAGTTACAATCGTGCATGTTTCAAGTAAAAATTAATAATTAAATTAATTTTAGCTTAATGTTTTTATTATTAACCTACTTAATCCTTAAAATGGTGTAAAATGTTTTTCTTTCGAGTAGTACCATGTGGCATTGTATAGCAGTGGGCGTCGCAATTAAGATGTCTAGCCACTGATTGTCAGCTGACCCTTTGCTCATAAATCTTTAACGTTTCTATGAAAATAAAGTAAGGTCGGATCTTTGCTTCACTAAAGTACCTATTTTTGATGTGGCAAGTTTTTGTTTACCATAAACTGTTTTAATTATTCGTGTACCTAGGCTCTTTGTATGTTGTGACTGAGGTTACTACCCATCCATTATTGTATAATATATGTATAAGCCGCTTAGGCATGAGCGTCTGATGTTTTTTGGTCAGCGAATATTGCAGTCTAAAAAAATGAATAATATTAAACAAAACTTACGAAAATTGTAATGTAACTTTTATGTTTTAAAAGAGTTGCACCATCTTACTTTAATTTTGACAAACGTCAAAAATGTGTCAAACTCCATACAAAAAACACCAGTTATCGTTATAGTTACAGTCAAAGTTAGATGGTGCACCTCAGCCTAAGTTCAAGTACCTAATCATATTCAAAATCAGAGCCATAATCTAAGTAACCAAAAACACAGGACAATTAATTTGTCAAAGCATTAGATGTTTAACGTAGTGGCCATGTTTCAAAGCACGCAACCTTTCTCGAGGGCAACGTCCAAAAACAAAGATTTGCCTCCATTCACGGCACGAACACAAATTCCATTGAACGATACCTGCACAAAAACTGTCGTGATGTCAGGACACTATAATTTCGGCTACTACGTGTTTCGAACTCTCGATGTGCAATTTAGTCCGAGCGAATATAAACAGGCAATTTTAAATCCTATATTTGTCTAGTAATTTTTTTTTTTTTTTTACTTTGATTTGAATGAATTTTCGGTAGTACTGAAACAGTTTAATTATGGTCCATTCTTATTATACGTCATATTTTTTTTTACAAAATTGAACAGTATTAATTAGTGCGGACTATACTTTTTGATTTTCGAAATATTGGATACTAGATTTCGAAAATAAATGTTTTATGTTGTGCAGAGGGATTACTAATGTTTGGCCAAAAAACGTTTCCCAAATTATCACATCGCAAACAACGTTTCGCAAATTTTCATTTGGCAAATTCTCATTTGGCAAAGCAACTTATTGCAAACTTTTAATTCGCAAATGTTTTTTTTGGCATATTATTGTTTAGCAAATTATTGTTTGGCAAAGTATGGTTTGCCAAATGTTTCATTAGGCAAAAATATTTCACGATAAACTGGTTTACTAATGTTTGGCCAAAAAACGTTTCCCAAATTATCACATCGCAAACAACGTTTCGCAAATTTTCATTTGGCAAATTCTCATTTGGCAAAACAACTTATTGCAAACTTTTAATTCGCAAATGTCGTTTTTGGCATATTATTGTTCAGCAAATTATCTTTTGGCAAAGTATGTTTTGCCAAATGTTTCATTTGGCAAAAATATTTCACGATAAACTATTTACAAAACAATTTGATTGGTGCATAGAATGGAATACAAATTAGCTTGTGGTTATTATTTTGTTTAGTGGGTAGTTATAATATAACAATTTTTCTAAATAAATTTTCATATTTCATTCTTTTTATCGAAATTTCCAAATGATTCATTAACAATAGAGATGATTCTAGCGCTCGGCGGCCGCTGCCGCGGCACGCTTCGCTCGCCTTCGCGCATTAAGGGTCACTGTTCTAACCTAACCTAACCTACTATTTTCTACAATACTTACTTTTTGCAACCATACTATTTTCTGCAATCTCTCTGTTTTACATAAAATTCTTGTGAAAACCATGATCATGTGCCTTATGCTTTGATTTGTGGGTAACGGTGGGTAAGTATGTGAAGTGTCAATTTGACCAAACAAATTATTTGGGATATAATATTTGGCAACATAAAACATTTGCTATATAAACATTTGCCAAGTAAAATTTGGCCAAATGATAATTTGACCAAATGAATTAGTTGCGAAAAGTACAGTTGCTAAAAGTTCATTTGGGAAATGAAACTTTGGCGATAAGTTGTTTGCGAAGTGAAATTTGGCGAAAAGTAATTTGGCCAAACGGAAGGATACCTGTGCAGAGCCTTAATATTTAGGTTTATTTTTTCATTCCCTGTCAGTTTAATATACCTACTGAACTGCAAGAAGTTTATTTAGGCTGAGTTGCACCACCTAACGTTGACCCTAACTTTAACGATAGGAAATGGTGTTTTTTGTATGGAGTTTAACAGATTTTTGACTTTTTCAAAGTTAAAGTAAGACGGTGCAACTCAGCCTTACATTTTTAAGATCAAGAAGCATTGTTTTTTTAGTAACACGTGTCAAAATATAAAATATGTACCTATTTATGTGCAAATACATTACTATTTATCGACACAAAGGGGCATTATTCAAAACGCTCTATACGTACGAAGATGAAAATCAGTACATTTCGAGTTAGAATCATTTGAATATCTGCGTCATGCAAACGTATGATGTGAGTCATCAGCTAATATGTAGTATAATGTGTGTATAATCACGATTCGATATTTATAACTATGACGCGTCCGTCTGTATACTTACAGGTGTAGAGCCATTTGAACAGGTTTCAAGAAGGATCCAGCTTCTGGCAAATAAAAAAACTATTTTGGACAGAAGTTGGAACTATTTGTACGCGACTTAATGACTTTGTAGTGTCTAATATCTTTCACCTTTCCTCAAACGTTGATTCAATCAACTCAAAAGGAAAAGTTCTTAAATGAAAAAGATACGTTCGGCCTTTCAGCAACAACAACTTTATGCAAAGCACCAAACTGGAATCTAGTAATAAACCATGATAATATCATAGAGATCTTTCTGTACCTATAAACTCTATATGTGTCTCTACACTTACAATTACTTAATAGGTGTCGTATTTAAGTAGTAGAATATACCTCATTGGTTTAAAACGTGTGATTTGGGCAAAGCACACTAAGACCTCTCGAACTCTTCCCATCAATGTCATAAAAGAGGATTATGGGACAAATATCTGGCCAGTGTGAGGAGTGTACGAGTAGAACAAATCTTCCAACAAGTTCCACTATTATAATAAGATTTGAAAATATATTAATATTATATTATTTCACATTTATTGTGCAATATAAAGTATTCTGGCATTCATAGTGAATGTTAACAGACATATAAGAATAATGGTTTTCTTAATAGTGCATTGTCTTCCACGAACTCACGTAGCAGGATTAGATAACTAAATTCTTAGTTTCAAGGCAATACGTTTACGTACAATATTTCATAATAAAATCTTTAATAACTAAGTAGATACAATTACCCATTGAACGCACATTTTACAAACTACGTAAACTATTGATAGCTTCCAGCTAATGCTCCGATGATAAATTTTGTAATCTATAAATACTTACGAGTTTCATGAAACATTACTAATACGAAGTAATGTTTGTCAGTGTGCTTAATTTTCACGCCTAAACCTCTGAACCAATTTTAATAAATTTTGGCTTCAAGATAAATTAGAAGTTAGAAAAAGACAATAGCTTCAAAGATCGTGAGGAGGCCCAAAGCTCTATTTGTATCTGGAAAATTGGAGAGGGTCAGGGTTATGTTCCTGCAGTGAGGACAAATGATCCGATGNAGAATAATGGTTTTCTTAATAGTGCATTGTCTTCCACGAACTCACGTAGCAGGATTAGATAACTAAATTCTTAGTTTCAAGGCAATACGTTTACGTACAATATTTCATAATAAAATCTTTAATAACTAAGTACCTAGATACAATTACCCATTGAACGCACATTTTACAAACTACGTAAACTATTGATAGCTTCCAGCTAATGCTCCGATGATAAATTTTGTAATCTATAAATACTTACGAGTTTCATGAAACATTACTAATACGAAGTAATGTTTGTCAGTGTGCTTAATTTTCACGCGTAAACCTCTGAATCAATTTTAATAAATTTTGGCTTCAAGATAAATTAGAAGTTAGAAAAAGACTAATACAAAGGTCGTGAGGACGCCCAAAGCTCTATTTGTATCTGGAAAATTGGAGAGGGTCAGGGTTATGTTCCTGCAGTGAGGACTAAATGATCCGATGATTCATGGTCAGATTGATTGAGGATCTTCAGTAATTATTTGATCATCATCATCATCATCATCAACAGGCCTTTATAGTCCACTGCTGGACTATGAGCCTTCTCCACTATTGTGGAGGGTTTTGCCATAATCCCCACGCTTGGCAGGCGGGTTGGAGATCGCAGTTTAAAACATTTATGTTTTTCAGAGAGCGCTGCTGCCCGTTCTCTGTT